TTTAGGGATAGATGTTGACGCTATATCTAAAATAACCCTAGTTAAATTTGCATTAAAGACGTCAACATCTTGATCGAAAATTTCCTCATGTTGGATTGTTTCTGCTAAAATTTTGAATTGGTCCCAATTGGCCTTATTAAAAACCCATCGTGGTGGGTATTGAATTGTATTGACATGGGGTTTAAAATCAAACTGTGTCAAAATTGGGTAATGGTCGGAACCTAGAGTGCTATCGAGGGTGTTCCAGTAGCTACATTTACTAGCTAAGTTTGGAGATGCTAGGGTGATATCTAGATGGGATTCTATACCCCGTGCTACATCTATTCTAGTAGGGTTACCCTCATTTAGTATGGTTAGACCAGTCTCATCTGCCCATTTGTGTATTGTTTCTCCCCGGGAATTGTTTTTGTTACTTCCCCACAATGTATGATGTCCATTAAAATCCCCGGTTACAATGATGTTATCTGTGTCGATATTTTCTATCAGATTCACCAGGGAATTAAATGGAATTGGTTTTTTGGGGGAGAGGTATATATTGAGTATGACTGTTTTGTTTGTTTTGTTGTGTAGTTCTATTCCTAGAGCCACAATATCTTGGTCTTTGATTTCATACTCTTTGTATGCAATTCCGCATTTTATATATATTGCCAAACCTTGGTCCGAATCGTACCTAAATGGTGGATTGTAACCATTAATTTTGAAACTTTTGTGTTTAGGTTTAAGCATTGTTTCCTGAATACATAAAATATCGGGAGCATTTTCGTTCAGAAATGATTTTAATTCTGAAATTTTCGGCTTAAGGCCTCCTGCATTCCAATGCATGACAGTAAGGCCTGACTGGTCATTTAATATACCCGCGAAAGAAAATGGGTATTTATATTAAATTTATGTTGCTTGTGGCTCTAGTAAAGCTGTCGTTTGCTATTTCCAGGTCTCGGCTGATTGGCGGTGTGTTTTGCCCGTGATCTGGTGTTAGGGCGTGTCGGTGTTGTTTGTTTGTTTTTTGGTGTTGTTTTATTGTTTGTTTGTGTCCTACGTCTACCCAATCCAGTAGGAGAGCGAGGTGTGGGAGGTTTGGACAGAAACGAGTCGTCTAACTCTCCAGAACTATCCAGAAGGTGTATTGTTTGTTGTGTAGGAGTGTTTTTGGTTTGTGTGGTTGTTATTAAGGTTTGGGGTGTTGTTTGTGTTAGGAAAAGTGTAGGTGATGTTGTTGGTGTGGACTGTGTTGGTTTTGGCTGTGTTGGTGAGGTTTGTGTGGGTGTTGTTTGTGTCAGTTTATTTATGGGTGTGACTTGAGGTGCCGGGAACCCGTTTTGTTTGTTTATTAGGGCCCTGACTTTTTGTAGTGCTTGTCTGTCTGTGAGTGTTTGATCACGTGCTAACAGGACAATATTGCCGAGTAGCTCTGTGGTGACTAATACTCCGTGTTGTGTAGGTGTTATTTGTGAGTTAATGGTTGTAGTAGTGTTGGTGTGTTTGTTTGTGTTATTTTGCGGAGTGTTGTTTTGTACGACTGCCGAGTACAGTCGATTTGTTGTAGTTTTGTTGTAGGTGATTTGGGTTGTTGAGCACTGGGAATATTTTGGTTTTGTATGCTTTGTAGTAGGTTTTTGTTGTTTGCGTGGTACGTTGAATTTTGTTACTGGATATGTGATTTTGTTAAATTTGATTTCTTTAGGTAGAGTGTTTGAGTGAAATTCCAGTAGGATGGATGTAGTAGGTTGTTTGTCTTTGTTGTGCATCCTACTGGCTGTCTTGACATTGTTTATTTTGTTTAATGATGTTAATGACGTGTTGAGGGGGATCCGATAGATGACCCCCTTTGTTGTTGTGCGAGTCATTTTTTGTTTGCGTCTAGGTGGGGAGTTTGTATATGGCCGTTTAGATAGCCGTGTTGTACATGGTGTACCATCTATACATGCGATTTTCATCGCCTTTGTTATGCACATCGCTGTGGCGCAGAGAACTAATATGATACCTGATGGTAGCATCTTGACGTCCCTGACGTCACTGGTTACCCCTGTGTATTGGGATATGTCCCCGCGAACACGTCCCGCATGTAGTGGTTTTTTATCCCTAGGGGTCAGTATAACTACGGCGGGTTTGTTTGTGGTTGGGCCAGCCATGTTGTGTTTGTAGTTAGTTGACAGAGGGAAAAGGGTGAGAGGAATTCCTGTGGGGAGATCCTAATTAGTCTAGAATAAAAGGTCTGGTGTGTTACCTGGAGACGGAGCGACAGAGACCTTGATTGAGAAAAGAACGCGGTCAAGCGTGAAAGTGAGTGGTCTGGATAGCAGAGGTTGTGTAGTCAGGTGTGAAAGTGTGATATCTGGCCACGGAAAGACAATGGACAGGAACCAGATACAGTTTTTCTTTTGTTTTTGGGGTTGGGATGGCACTTTATAAGGCCGTCTTAAAAATGGTCCGAAATGAATAGCCCGATAAGAAAATAGATAAAATAAAGGTTATATGTATCAGAGATATATAAAATATGAAATATTTTCTACAGAATTATAACTCTACCTAATACTGTTTGGACCTTCCTATTGTATTTGATATATAGCTGAATCTAGTTATAACTATAGTATCACTATAAAACTCCTTAAACAAGGTATCTAAATAACAAATTATACAGACCAGGATACTATTTATTATCAGTTCCCGACGCTAAAATACGAGATAGCGACTAAATGATTAATAAGAAATTTTGAAAAGTACTTATCCTTCTGATGGATTTCTCGGGAACTCTGTTGTCTAATTAATCCTCTGTCTGCCGATAGAATTAACACATCAAAAAAAGTAATATATATATAAAGAAAAAAAAAAAGTCCACAGGAATTACACAATATATTCCAGAAGAATATATGGAATATATATATATAGAAAAGACTGTTGGTGAATGATGTAACCTAACACTATATCGTTGATGACAGGTAACAAAGGTACTCTAAGCCTGTAGGTAGGTGTCGACAGCTCTAGAGGGGTCAGTGTTATGAGTATGTGATGGGGTGATGTAAAGAATGTGCTGGAATTGGGTTAGCGTAGATTTTTGGGATTAGTGAGAATAAATGTGAATTATTATACAATAGATGTCGTATCGTACATGCCCCGCCCAGGGATTTGTATATTAGAAGGTGGAAGGTAGGGTGGAAGAGATTTTCGTAATGGTTGTTCAGCCGCACCGTTTCGCGGTTATAACCTCGCCGAGGACACCTAACGGCGCGTTAGCCTGTCTGTGTGGAAAACAAGTAATTTGTGTTTCCTTGGTGTGAATAAACGTTGTTTATAGCTCTAAATTATTGGAGAAAATTAGTGATATATACACCTATTTGCTAACGGATAGATAGGCAAACGAATGGTGTTTTCAAAATTTAAATCGGTTTCGTAATGAGTGAGCTACATGACATTTTCCTATAATTTTGTCAGTGCGGTTTCACTATTAGTTGAATAGAATTGTTCTAAATTCGTAATATATGCGTTATTTTCATAAACACACTATTTACTTAGTTTCTTAATATATACATGTTCATTGTATATATGGTAATAAATGGTATTTGTGAATAATTTAGATTTAGAATGGGTAAATATCATAGACATGGAAGCACATTTATCGAATTCCTGCTATACTTAATCTCAATCCATAGTCTCCACCATTTTCGATTCGATTATCGCATTTAATTGCTAACAAATATCACATTCTAAGTATGGAATATGTTTTTTGGGGGTTTTTTTCCCTCCCAATTCATACGTCATCGTATCCACATGTGTGTTGTGCTGTATTGTATGTGTGATCATATATATACGTGTACACATGTGTACTTGACTCGACTCTACGCAAACATGTATTAATTCTGTGTTGTCTAGATATCGAACTCGAAAATAAAGAAATGGTGTGTATGTATGGGGGTGTGTTTGTGGGTGTGGGTGTGCGCGCGCTAGTAACAGTCACAGGTGAGAGGGGAAAAAAGGAAAAAAAAAAAAACACATGCACACACTCACACACAAAACAAAACAAAACCACACAAATAGGAGAATCGGATTTCATATTTTTAAAAAATAAAACTGCCGTGGTTGGAGCCCCCGGACTCAGCCTTTCGCAATAAATGTGTTTGGCTCACACATCCATTTTATACATTCTGGGTTAAATTTATACTTTAGAAATTTGAGTCAGAACAACTTTATATTCAGGATAATTCTCTATCGTATAGACGACGACGATACTTACCTTTGATCGTGCACTATACACATACGTACACAGGTATACACGACAACGTACCCACGTGCACGGACAGTGAAAACGACTCCTGCAACTGGGTAAACTGAAATATGTGGAAATTGGAATAATACCACCTGTTTCAACTATTTTGAAAAAAAAATGTATAGCGGAAATTGTCTCGATTTCAGAGTATGATTTTGAAGTGTTTTCACTAGTTTCCACATAAACATTACTATTATTTCATATATGAAATGATTGTTGGTTGAAAGTGGCAATTTTTAGCGTTAGTCGGTACACTACATTTGTGTATTTGAATTCAGATTGTACATGCGTAGTATTAAGAAATAAACCGATACCGTGTCAGCTTATAGGTGTATTAACTGTTGGTTTAACGTGTATATTATTGAAATTCATTCACCTAATCATAAATGGGCGGGGCCGGGCGTGAGTGTGTACTTGTCGGGTGGGAGACGGGGGACGGGGCGGCGACTTAGAAGTTGTAGCAGGTATCAATTGTTTATAACAAAAAAGTGTGTGATGTGAAGTAGTCCTGTGGGGTTGGGTGGGAAGGTGGATTTTCCTTTACTTTCGGGTAGGTGGGTGTATTTGGAGGGTGGGGGTGGGGAAGGGTGTTGTTGGTTTGTTCGTTGGTCAATTATAAGAAGTTAGGATTAGTGCGTTTTGCGTATTTTTCGAGGCGTAAGTGGATGATTTTCGTGACTTGTGGGTAGTCCTAAAAAGGACTGTTTACGTGTCGTTCGGACGGTGTAAGATATACATCTTATTTTTTTGCAGCCTTGGCTTTCTTAGGCTTGTCTGTCTTAGCTTTCTTCGGAGACTTGATAGCCTTTTTCTTAGGGGTCTTGGGCTTGGTAGTTTTCTTGGATGGTTTCTTCTCCGTGGTTTTCTTGGTAGCTGCTTTCTTGGGTGTCTTTGCCTTTGGTTTCTTAGCCGTCGCCGACGTGTCGCTTTCTTCGCCGCCGGTTTCTTAGGTTTTGCTGCTTTCGGCTTAACCACTTTCTTAGCGGCTGGTTTTTTGGCGGGTTTAGGTTTCTCTCCGAGCTTGAATGATCCAGCAGCTCCGGTTCCTTTCGACTGTTTCAGGGCTCCTTTCTTCACGCCGTTCCGGAGGGCGATCTTCAGGTGTGCGTTGATAGCCTTAGCGTGTGTGTCCCACTTTGAAGTTAGCCATGATGTATTTCAGTATTGCCTGACGGGACGAGCCTCCACGTTCCTTCAGACTTCCCACTGCAGTGGCCACCATGTCGCTGTACTTTGGATGAGCTGCCGGGGTCTTTGGCTTCTTCACTGCTTTCTTCACTGGAGTCTTCTCTGCCATCTTCGGATTCGTCTGGATGTGATTGTTCGAGAACTGCGCTAGTCAGTGCTAGGTAAGCTGTATGCCCCGCCCGTCCTCGCTCAGCCGTTTAAGCGCTTTTTGCTGCACCTCGCCGAGGACACCTAACGGCGCGTTAGCCTGTCTGTGTGGAAAACAAGTAATTTGTGTTTCCTTGGTGTGAATAAACGTTGTTTATAGCTCTAAATTATTGGAGAAAATTAGTGATATATACACCTATTTGCTAACGGATAGATAGGCAAACGAATGGTGTTTTCAAAATTTAAATCGGTTTCGTAATGAGTGAGCTACATGACATTTTCCTATAATTTTGTCAGTGCGGTTTCACTATTAGTTGAATAGAATTGTTCTAAATTCGTAATATATGCGTTATTTTCATAAACACACTATTTACTTAGTTTCTTAATATATACATGTTCATTGTATATATGGTAATAAATGGTATTTGTGAATAATTTAGATTTAGAATGGGTAAATATCATAGACATGGAAGCACATTTATCGAATTCCTGCTATACTTAATCTCAATCCATAGTCTCCACCATTTTCGATTCGATTATCGCATTTAATTGCTAACAAATATCACATTCTAAGTATGGAATATGTTTTTTGGGGGTTTTTTTCCCTCCCAATTCATACGTCATCGTATCCACATGTGTGTTGTGCTGTATTGTATGTGTGATCATATATATACGTGTACACATGTGTACTTGACTCGACTCTACGCAAACATGTATTAATTCTGTGTTGTCTAGATATCGAACTCGAAAATAAAGAAATGGTGTGTATGTATGGGGGTGTGTTTGTGGGTGTGGGTGTGCGCGCGCTAGTAACAGTCACAGGTGAGAGGGGAAAAAAGGAAAAAAAAAACACATGCACACACTCACACACAAAACAAAACAAAACCACACAAATAGGAGAATCGGATTTCATATTTTTAAAAAATAAAACTGCCGTGGTTGGAGCCCCCGGACTCAGCCTTTCGCAATAAATGTGTTTGGCTCACACATCCATTTTATACATTCTGGGTTAAATTTATACTTTAGAAATTTGAGTCAGAACAACTTTATATTCAGGATAATTCTCTATCGTATAGACGACGACGATACTTACCTTTGATCGTGCACTATACACATACGTACACAGGTATACACGACAACGTACCCACGTGCACGGACAGTGAAAACGACTCCTGCAACTGGGTAAACTGAAATATGTGGAAATTGGAATAATACCACCTGTTTCAACTATTTTGAAAAAAAAATGTATAGCGGAAATTGTCTCGATTTCAGAGTATGATTTTGAAGTGTTTTCACTAGTTTCCACATAAACATTACTATTATTTCATATATGAAATGATTGTTGGTTGAAAGTGGCAATTTTTAGCGTTAGTCGGTACACTACATTTGTGTATTTGAATTCAGATTGTACATGCGTAGTATTAAGAAATAAACCGATACCGTGTCAGCTTATAGGTGTATTAACTGTTGGTTTAACGTGTATATTATTGAAATTCATTCACCTAATCATAAATGGGCGGGGCCGGGCGTGAGTGTGTACTTGTCGGGTGGGAGACGGGGGACGGGGCGGCGACTTAGAAGTTGTAGCAGGTATCAATTGTTTATAACAAAAAAGTGTGTGATGTGAAGTAGTCCTGTGGGGTTGGGTGGGAAGGTGGATTTTCCTTTACTTTCGGGTAGGTGGGTGTATTTGGAGGGTGGGGGTGGGGAAGGGTGTTGTTGGTTTGTTCGTTGGTCAATTATAAGAAGTTAGGATTAGTGCGTTTTGCGTATTTTTCGAGGCGTAATTGGATGATTTTCGTGACATGTGGGTAGTCCTAAAAAGGACTGTTTACGTGTCGTTCGGACGGTGTAAGATATACATCTTATTTTTTTGCAGCCTTGGCTTTCTTAGGCTTGTCTGTCTTAGCTTTCTTCGGAGACTTGATAGCCTTTTTCTTAGGGGTCTTGGGCTTGGTAGTTTTCTTGGATGGTTTCTTCTCCGTGGTTTTCTTGGTAGCTGCTTTCTTGGGTGTCTTTGCCTTTGGTTTCTTAGCCGTCGCCGACGTAGTCGCTTTCTTCGCCGCCGGTTTCTTAGGTTTTGCTGCTTTCGGCTTAACCACTTTCTTAGCGGCTGGTTTTTTGGCGGGTTTAGGTTTCTCTCCGAGCTTGAATGATCCAGCAGCTCCGGTTCCTTTCGACTGTTTCAGGGCTCCTTTCTTCACGCCGTTCCGGAGGGCGATCTTCAGGTGTGCGTTGATAGCCTTAGCGTCGGATCCCACTTTGAAGTTAGCCATGATGTATTTCAGTATTGCCTGACGGGACGAGCCTCCACGTTCCTTCAGACTTCCCACTGCAGTGGCCACCATGTCGCTGTACTTTGGATGAGCTGCCGGGGTCTTTGGCTTCTTCACTGCTTTCTTCACTGGAGTCTTCTCTGCCATCTTCGGATTCGTCTGGATGTGATTGTTCGAGAACTGCGCTAGTCAGTGCTAGGTAAGCTGTATGCCCCGCCCGTCCTCGCTCAGCCGTTTAAGCGCTTTTTGCTGCACCTCGCCGAGGACACCTAACGGCGCGTTAGCCTGTCTGTGTGGAAAACAAGTAATTTGTGTTTCCTTGGTGTGAATAAACGTTGTTTATAGCTCTAAATTATTGGAGAAAATTAGTGATATATACACCTATTTGCTAACGGATAGATAGGCAAACGAATGGTGTTTTCAAAATTTAAATCGGTTTCGTAATGAGTGAGCTACATGACATTTTCCTATAATTTTGTCAGTGCGGTTTCACTATTAGTTGAATAGAATTGTTCTAAATTCGTAATATATGCGTTATTTTCATAAACACACTATTTACTTAGTTTCTTAATATATACATGTTCATTGTATATATGGTAATAAATGGTATTTGTGAATAATTTAGATTTAGAATGGGTAAATATCATAGACATGGAAGCACATTTATCGAATTCCTGCTATACTTAATCTCAATCCATAGTCTCCACCATTTTCGATTCGATTATCGCATTTAATTGCTAACAAATATCACATTCTAAGTATGGAATATGTTTTTTGGGGGTTTTTTTCCCTCCCAATTCATACGTCATCGTATCCACATGTGTGTTGTGCTGTATTGTATGTGTGATCATATATATACGTGTACACATGTGTACTTGACTCGACTCTACGCAAACATGTATTAATTCTGTGTTGTCTAGATATCGAACTCGAAAATAAAGAAATGGTGTGTATGTATGGGGGTGTGTTTGTGGGTGTGGGTGTGCGCGCGCTAGTAACAGTCACAGGTGAGAGGGGAAAAAAGGAAAAAAAAAACACATGCACACACTCACACACAAAACAAAACAAAACCACACAAATAGGAGAATCGGATTTCATATTTTTAAAAAATAAAACTGCCGTGGTTGGAGCCCCCGGACTCAGCCTTTCGCAATAAATGTGTTTGGCTCACACATCCATTTTATACATTCTGGGTTAAATTTATACTTTAGAAATTTGAGTCAGAACAACTTTATATTCAGGATAATTCTCTATCGTATAGACGACGACGATACTTACCTTTGATCGTGCACTATACACATACGTACACAGGTATACACGACAACGTACCCACGTGCACGGACAGTGAAAACGACTCCTGCAACTGGGTAAACTGAAATATGTGGAAATTGGAATAATACCACCTGTTTCAACTATTTTGAAAAAAAAATGTATAGCGGAAATTGTCTCGATTTCAGAGTATGATTTTGAAGTGTTTTCACTAGTTTCCACATAAACATTACTATTATTTCATATATGAAATGATTGTTGGTTGAAAGTGGCAATTTTTAGCGTTAGTCGGTACACTACATTTGTGTATTTGAATTCAGATTGTACATGCGTAGTATTAAGAAATAAACCGATACCGTGTCAGCTTATAGGTGTATTAACTGTTGGTTTAACGTGTATATTATTGAAATTCATTCACCTAATCATAAATGGGCGGGGCCGGGCGTGAGTGTGTACTTGTCGGGTGGGAGACGGGGGACGGGGCGGCGACTTAGAAGTTGTAGCAGGTATCAATTGTTTATAACAAAAAAGTGTGTGATGTGAAGTAGTCCTGTGGGGTTGGGTGGGAAGGTGGATTTTCCTTTACTTTCGGGTAGGTGGGTGTATTTGGAGGGTGGGGGTGGGGAAGGGTGTTGTTGGTTTGTTCGTTGGTCAATTATAAGAAGTTAGGATTAGTGCGTTTTGCGTATTTTTCGAGGCGTAATTGGATGATTTTCGTGACATGTGGGTAGTCCTAAAAAGGACTGTTTACGTGTCGTTCGGACGGTGTAAGATATACATCTTATTTTTTTGCAGCCTTGGCTTTCTTAGGCTTGTCTGTCTTAGCTTTCTTCGGAGACTTGATAGCCTTTTTCTTAGGGGTCTTGGGCTTGGTAGTTTTCTTGGATGGTTTCTTCTCCGTGGTTTTCTTGGTAGCTGCTTTCTTGGGTGTCTTTGCCTTTGGTTTCTTAGCCGTCGCCGACGTAGTCGCTTTCTTCGCCGCCGGTTTCTTAGGTTTTGCTGCTTTCGGCTTAACCACTTTCTTAGCGGCTGGTTTTTTGGCGGGTTTAGGTTTCTCTCCGAGCTTGAATGATCCAGCAGCTCCGGTTCCTTTCGACTGTTTCAGGGCTCCTTTCTTCACGCCGTTCCGGAGGGCGATCTTCAGGTGTGCGTTGATAGCCTTAGCGTCGGATCCCACTTTGAAGTTAGCCATGATGTATTTCAGTATTGCCTGACGGGACGAGCCTCCACGTTCCTTCAGACTTCCCACTGCAGTGGCCACCATGTCGCTGTACTTTGGATGAGCTGCCGGGGTCTTTGGCTTCTTCACTGCTTTCTTCACTGGAGTCTTCTCTGCCATCTTCGGATTCGTCTGGATGTGATTGTTCGAGAACTGCGCTAGTCAGTGCTAGGTAAGCTGTATGCCCCGCCCGTCCTC